GGGACCTGTTTGATAGGTAGCAACTTCTCACTATAAGGCAGTGGAGGGGGGATTGCAGGGACATGGAGGTGTATGGGGTGCCAGCCCCCACAACCAAATGGGTCCAAGGGGACAGTTGCATAATTGAGGGGAAAATTAAAGAGACATCAGATAAGACTGCCATGACTTCAGGAGCCAGGTCTGCACAGAGAGATCAGATTTCCAACAACAGCTTATGTACTCTCGGGGCGCGTGCAAGCCCCCGTAATTACAGGTAACCACTTATGTAACAAAGTGGGCTGTACCCTAACCCTAAAGGTCCCCGAGTTCATTGGAGGAATAACCTAGCACCAGTGCCCGGGGCAGGTAAGGAGGGGGTGACTTGTCTCCAGAGCCCACAGAACAATAGTATCACGTCTGCTGCTGGCTACGTAGCCATCAGCCAGGTGCTTGTAGGAGGTAACTTTAAGGCAGCACTATTACGGGAGGATACAGTGGGGAACAGTATTAATAGAATGTGACTGGGACTCATCTCTAACTCACAAGGGTGAAGGCCTCCCTCCACGCCAGAGACCCAGCCTGCCAGGCTTCTAGAAATAGGAGAATAAAGGATTTGTCCGCGTACACGCTCTTTGCAGTCCTCTGTCTCCCGCAGTGGTGGCCTGCTTCCCGGGGAAATGTGAATAGACACTCGTTCATCAGGGAGGTTATTCAAATGGACACCACAAGGTTGTGGTGTCTCGGGTAGAGGTGCTACCTTCCACCTGAAAGACCTGGTTCGATTCCCAGCCCCAGTGCACCTCGTGCACAGCCAACATGTGTCGTTGGTGGAGGCTGGCATGTTGCTGTGTGGTAGCAGAGCTTGCAGACTCAGACAGACTAGGAAGAAAGGCCTGGCATACAATGTGGAAGGAGAGAAGTACAGCCCACTCTCCGGAAGACTGTGCAGTAAAGTACTTCTGTGCAGTAAAGCTGGCTCTGTCGGGAGCCCTGGTGGAGCCAACGGTTAACCGCTTGGCTGCTAGCCATAAGGTCAGTGCTTCAAACCCACCAGAGAGACGCCCTGGTGATCGCTCACCCTTGGACGCCCACCAGGGCAGGTCCACTCTGTCCTGCAGGGTGAGTCGCCACTGTCTCGGTGGCAGTGGGTTCCTAATCCTTTCATCCCTGGCAGCACAATGGCTAAGTGCTTAACTGATAAAGCACAAGGTTGGGTTGGTAGTTCAGACCCACAGTCTGTCTGTTCCACAGAGCAGACCATCTGCTTCCATGAAGACCACAGCCTTAGAAACCCACTTGGGGAGGGGGGGCGTCAGAACGGCCCCAGTGGCTCCCACCCACCACGGCCGGCTCTGTGTGGAGGGCAGATGTTCACGCTCCTTCTTGTTATCCTCTTGTTCATGTGTGTAGCCCTGAGAACATGCTCTGGAGTCTGTCCTGTGTTTAGGGTTAGTAACCGTCACTTCACTGTTGCCTCCCCAAACTCTCAGAGCCACCGAGTGGAAGCCGACTGACTCACAGCTGTCCTCTAGCACAGGGTAGAGCTGCCCCTGTGAGTGTCTGAGACGGTCGCTCTTGACGGGAGTAGAGAGCCTCTTCTTTCTCCCGTGGAACGGCTGGTGGTTTCAAACTGCTGGCCTTGCAGTGAGCGGCCCGGTGCACAACCACGAGGCCACCAGGGCTCCTCTTTAGCCGTGGCTTCATTTCAGAAAGTAATTTGTTTTGTTGAAAGATAGGCGCAGCAGAACAAACCGATTCAGCAACAGCTACATGAGCTATTCCTCGACATTGATGTCGTTCTCCCAACATCCTATCTGAAATCGTCCGCCCCCCCCCATGACCTGCTGCTCTCTAGGGTTTGTTCCACATCTGAGCCGCTGTGATCGTTCTGCAAGAGAACTCATGGCAGTGTTCTTTCGTCGCTAAGCTGAGCTATTACTTGGTTTTAAGAAAACATTGGGGGATATTTTTGGTTTAAGGTTTAAAGATGATCTCAAGGCAATAATTTCAGGGGTTCCTCTAGCCCTTATGGTCCCAGAAAGCCTGGAGCCAGCCCCTGGGATTTTGAAATTCCATTCTGTTATGGAATCTTGGATCAAAATGTTCCATCCTGGTAGCTGGGCACCATCCAGTGTTTCCTGTCTCACAGCAAAAGAGGAGTTGGCCCTTGGAGCCATAAGGCACACCTTCCATATTCTGTTCTGATTCCTTTTTTTTTTTTTTTTTAAATCATTTTGTTAGGGGCTCTTACAGCTCTGATAACTCTATACATCAATTGTATCAAGCTTATTTGTACCTATGTTGCCATCATCGTTTCCAAAACATTTTCTACTTGAGCCCTTGGTATGAGCCACTCTTTTCTCCCCACTACTTTTCCAATTCTTGTCTCCCCTTTTTTCTCTGATGCTCCAGGTAATAGAGACCAATCGTAGTCGGGAAGTTTCCCACCTGAATTATTTTATTGTCGTTCTTTTAAAGCTGTGCGTGTGCATGTGCTATCATTTTCCCAGTCCTGGGGGTACTTAGGTTGCCAAGTGTGGAGCCCAGTTTGTGAACCAGCTGAACAAAGTCCTCTGTTCCCAAGGCTACACCGAGTGGCTAGAATGCCACAGCAACCTGCTTATGGTTTATGTGGATCTTTTAGGTTCACGGCGCCTGTCTAAACCTTGTTGTTGGGTGCCGTCCAGTCGGTTCTGACTCACCGTAGCCCATGTTCACAGGACAGGTGCCGTCTGGTCCCGCACCACCCTCACGGTCACCCCTGTTTGTCTCATTGCTGAAAACACTGGGCCAATCCGTACTATTCTTGTATTATAACAGTACATTTAACTTGTAGCAATCTATAATAAAGTGATAATGGATGTAATTCCATGCATCATTTATTAGGTGGCAGAGGGAAGGGGGAAACAAAAATCCTACCTCTTTAAAAAAAATTCCTCAATATTTTGACTTACTAATCATTGAAAAAAAAGTTAGTCCTTTTATTGGGAGCTTACAGCCATCATAATAATCCTTAAGTTCTGTCACCAGTCCGCACGACTGAGGGTCTTCAGTCTTTCCCTGTGGGTGACGAATTAGACTGCTATCCCACAAGGCCGGCAGTTGGAAGCCAGCAGCTGCTCCTCAGGGGGAAGACGAGGCTTGCTCCTCCCAGATAGACGCTGCAGCCTCGGGAACTCACAGGGCAGTTGTGCTCAGCCTGGAGGGTCACCGTGGGGCGGGAATGACCTGATGGCTTGGAGCCGTTTTGGAAACTGCCAACCGCAATGTCCTCCTTCTCTAGCCACTGCTTGTGTCCTTCAGGCGACATGTCCAAAGTTCGTGAAAGGGAGTCTCACCTCATGAGCCCCAGGGTGGGGCAACTGGTTAGGTACCGTGCTGCTGACCCAAAGGTCGGAGGATTGAGGCCGCCTAGAGGCACCTGGCGAAGAACGTTGATAATGCCAGGGACTGCCGAAACCGTATTCGTCTTTGAAGAAAGGCAGTCAGAATACTCCTTGGCGACAAGGATGGCGAAATTCTGTCTCACATACTTTGGCCATGTTGTCAGGGAAGACCTGTCCCTGGAGAAGGGCATGGAGCCAGTGGAGGGGGTAGGGATTGTGATTTTTTTTTCTGTTTAACCAAAGAGAGACCTGGCTCTAATGGATGCAGCCCCACAGTGACATCTGCCCAGGAAGAAATGGAGCCTCCCCAGACCCCACCCCCATCCAGCTCACCCTTCTCCTTTCTGCCACCCTCCTGGCCCCAGAGACCCACCCTGAGGTTGCAGCCAGTGCTCTAGGTCCTGAGTGTTCTAGGCTCTAACTGTTGCTTGGCCCTGCTTGTTTGAATTCCCCTCTGAGAATCTGCATTGCAGGGGGCCAGTCTCTAGCCAGAGCTCCCCGACAGTTTGAGGAACCTCGGTGTTGCCATTGAGGCGAATACCCCTCCCTGGCCTGTCCCCTCAGAGTCCCTCTCCACCCCTACATCACCGGGTGGGGGGTGGGGGTGGGGCTCTTTGCCATCTGGGTCTCTGGGGGCCACTAGGGGATATGTGGAGCTCTTCGTTGGGACCCGACCACTCCCCACGTTCCAGGGGAGCAGACTGGGGCTCTTCAATCACCAAATGGATTCCAGCATGTGGCTGCCAGTTCCCCCTGGTATCTAACCACCTGCTCTCGGAACTGCCCCTCAACCTCAAAGCTTCCGCCAGGAAGTTTGGCCGCCATAGGATGCTGAGAACGGTCATTTTATGCCCGTGTGCGCCTGTGAAGTGTGGGCTGGGTCTCCCTCTAACTCGGGGGCAGGGACCCTTTCTTCTGCCAAGGGCCAGCAGTTGGATATTGAGAACATCTTTCGGGGACCTCAGCGGACAAACAGTTCGCCAACTCAGCCCTGAAGTGATGGGTGGAACTGCTTCCCTGTGGTGAGGCGTGCGATGGTAGCTGGTGTTCATGGGTTCTTGGGCCTTCTGCATCTACCGGGCTAGATGTTCCCAACATCTGCCTTAAATAGACCCTTGCGAGATGAGCTGCCATATACCCCGACAGGTGGAGAGAGTTGGGTAGGGAGCTCTCCTGGCGCCCAGGACACCATGGGGCTCAGAAAGCCTTTGTTCCAATCTGTTTCACCACCTCCTGGCCGTGTGTCCTTGGGCTTAGGCACGAGTCCCCCTGGCCCACAGAGTCCATGGTCCCAAGAGGAGGGAGCCCTCTCCCTTGAAGGGAGAGCGCAAGAGTGCTCAGGCAGAGGCTGCTCTGCTTCCTGGGAA